CTCCTTCTTTCCATGAATTACCCTTCCTCTCCTCCCCTCCCCTTACTCCCATTTCAAGTCATCTGGCTTTTAAAGTTACAAGATAATGTAATTTTCAGTTCATCAGTGTGAGAAAGCAATCTATTAACAGTGGGCTATTGATTATTTATTTATATCAAATGGCGCAGGCGTCTTGATGGTTATCATTAGCCCTTTAGTTGACTTCAGACTTCACAAGGGGGAAGGAAGTTCAAATTGAAAAAGTCGAGAGGGGGGGGGGAACAGAAGAGTGTTTCAAAGATTTGAGTGACAAACACAAAGGTAGAAAAAAGTTGAGGTGAGTACTGTGGAAATAGTCGAATATGACATAGAGTGGGGTGATGGTGGTTTAAACTCAGCAGTCAACTGCCAGTTAATAGACTTTTTTGCCGTATGAGTATACGTTGCCCAGGGTTCACCACGTGGAGGCAAGTCTATCGCTCACCCCGGGCTGTTGATTATGAATTACGGTTAACGAGAAGTCGTATTTCCTTTTGGATTTTTTTTTGTTTTCGTGCTGTATTCCGTGGAGAGTTTACATTCCTCCGAAGTTCAAGTTTCATGATTCAACTATTGGTTTATATGAGCGCATTCTTGTTCACTATATCCTGTACTTATTGATAAATTTTTTTATTATGATGGCCGTTCAGGTCATTTCAACAATTTTCTTTAAATCGTTGAGGATCCCACGAATCATTTTGGTTGACATTAACGCACCAGGTCCATGATTTTAATGACCCAATTATGGTCAAACATTGCTTTACTTTTAAATCCATCTACTAACCTCGTATACTTTCCTATACTTAATTTGCAGGCAATCTTGGAAGAGGAGTACCAGGAGACTTTCGGTCTTGGATCGTCCGATCACGGTGAATCCGTGCCGTCAATCTTGCGTAAGATCACTCCCCCGAGTCTCAGTGAACCCCCACCAATGTCAGCCACTTTCAACACTCCACGCTATTCCGCCTACACTCCACATCGATTTGCATCCGCCTCGGTAACCGCAATGAGTAATGGAAATGGCATCTACAATGAGCCCTGCGATGCTAGGAGGTCAGGAGGTGGAGGCACGGTTAAGAAGATTCACTCGCTAAGGAGAGCGAGTCTGGCTGCGAGTATCTACTGCGATACAGAGCATCATAGACAGGATGGCTTTTTGCAACCACCCAGTCCTCGGGGTGAGTCAGTTTGTTTCATTTCAGTACTTTGTGGCGACTTAACTTGGCATGGTGGCACTTCAATCTTGAACACGTATTCGAATTTGTATTCTTTGCAGATGCAATAGGTCGACAATTTGTATATTTATTTCAAATGGCAGGCTTTATGGCAGTTGTCATTAACCCTTTAGTTAACCTCGGGCTTCACGGGAGTGAGGAACTTCAAAATCACAAAAGTCGAGGTAGGGACAGAAAAGTGATTCATAGGTGTAAAAGGGAGGCAGATACAAGGGCAGAGAAGGAGGTAAGTTGAGGTGAGTGCTGTGGAAGTGATGAAAAATGACATACAATGGGGTGATGGTAGTTTGAAGTCAGAAATCAACTGCCAGTTTATAATTTTTTACCGTATGAGTGTACGTTGTCCAGGGTGTACAGCGTGGAGGTAAGTCCATCGCACATCCCCATGAGTCGATAATTAGGCAATGTATAGCAGGTAGATTGTTTGAATTTGATAGTTTGCTTGGTTGGTTCCTGTATGTTGAGAGTGGATAAGTTTAGGCAATCTTATAGGCACTTCACTTCCAGTTTCAACTTGCCATTTGGTTCGCATTCATTCTCGAAGTGCGCATGGAGATAATTAGGAAATAAATTGAACAAAGAGTGTGCTAAGCTTATCTTCTTAGATATCGTAACCCGAATTGAAAACCCCGGTTCAGTGAATGTGTTCTAAAGTAGTCCCTCATTTCCTTTGGTGTTTCACAAATGCTCTTTTCCTTTTACCGATCATTTATCCTCTTTTCTTCTCATCTTACTTAAAATTATTATGATCCACCCCTTTTTTATCAAATCGAGTTTAAGGGAAATGATTAAAAAAGGGTTCATTTGGAGTAAAGCTATCGGGAAATTAAAGGAGTTTTTGCTTCATTTGACTTTGGAATCTGAGGTTTTTGCTCTAAGAGACTACGAGAGAGAGAGAGAGAGAGAAAGAGAGAGTAGGTTGATAAGATACGACTCCTCTAAGTGTGAATTTCGACCCATGTGTTCAGAAATCACACGCCTACTACGTGTCGTGTCTTGATGGAATTTTTTTTACAACACCGGGTCATGCTTTCTGGTAAGTTCAATCGAGGAAGCATATCGGGCAAGGTATAGTGTCAGCCTTTAGCTTACCTCTGCCCTCCTCGGAACATTTGCCATGTTCTTTGCACCCCATCCCCCACCCCCTTCCCCCCCCCACACCCCATTAATACTTTCTCTATTTATTCATCAAGGCAGTAAACGGTAGTTCAAAGTGTTGCATGCATATTTGAGTATTATGTGTTGAGAGGGAAGGAGCCGGGGGGGGGGGGGTTCGAGATTTTTGCCACTCTTTTATTTCTAGTCAGCTGAGAAAAGTATGCTGCTGCCTACTCAAGCCATTTTGAAGTGGTATTTAATGTTAATGTGAAAAATCTACTGTGTTTTGAGAATTTAAACGAGTGGAAATCCTTATTGGTCGTTGTGTGTGTGTGTTGCGCCTTTAGAGATGTGATAGTCGATATCGATTTCTGTTTTGACCATGAGAATTCAGTCAAACTAAAACTTTACAGGCGTCTTGATTTGTATTACTGACACCGTGGTTGCTTTCTCTCTGCCTCTCGTTGATATCTGATGGTGTTTTCGATGATTTCACTACTCACGCGCTGAATTAAATTACATCTCGGGAACCTAACCCTGTTTTACTCTAATCCCTCTTAGTACCTAGATGTCAAACACTGCCATTGCAATTGTTACCAAGCTTTTTTTGCTGCATATACGGGCTATTCGTGACGATTGTGGCAGCTCCTGTCATAAGTGATGGGTGTTTTCTGTCCCAGTTTCAGCTCCCATTTCTCATTGGACATAAAATCAATGTATGGCCCTGATACAAGAAACAATATCTATTATTATGCCTTTCTGTTTTGATAGCGTCATCCTGATTTATTTAGAATTGATTATTACAAACATAGGGTGTTGTAACTTTGATCTGAGCGGGAGTATGCTTCCACTAAGTTTTTATTTTGGTTTATTCGAAAAATTGCCTTTCTAATCAGCAGAGGCAATGAAAGGGCTTAAGGAAAGTTATTTCAGAATGCTGCATTAGCCCTTTGACGTCTGAATTATTTATTGAAAGTGGATCCAACCGCACTCACGCGTTTCTTACAGCAGGTTGATGCCGCCGACTTGATGAGTTTTGGTGGTGTATCAGGCGAAGGCTATATAGACACGTATTGAATATGTTTCACACGACGATAGCGCGCCTTCTGTTACGAGTCTAATACCAATGGAGTTTATGTTGAAAGAGGACCATACTGTCCTTCAAGGCATTAAATGGTTAGAGTCCGCGTTCTGTAAGTATTATCTATCTCAATTTCTTATTTGTCTGAGTTCTAACTTTTTTAAAAGGCATTGCTTTCTGAAGAAGAGAATCTTTTTCCATGGTTGCGAGCAAAAGTTGTGAATAGGGCCTCCAATTGCTTTTTCAAAAAGTTTCAGATTTTTCTCTCTCTCACTCTTTCTGTGCGTGTGTGTGTAACAGGCGATGAAATTTACTTTTTGGAGGCAATAGACACATACCTACTTGTTAAGATCATGTTTTACACAATTTATGTTCATGTCCATTATTTGGACCCCTCTCGTCCGATCCTTTCCACCTGAAGGAAGGCCATGTTTACGCTTCAACTTTTTTTGCTCGACTAATCTCACCACCCAAAATGTTTGTTTACTGTTTCAGAACGCCATATGTAGTAAGCGATAGCATTTAATGAATTTTCTTTGCAGTTTCATTCCTTTGCAGCAGAATTAGCATTACTTGATAGCCACCGCTTGGGTTTTTAATATTCCTAACGTTTATAACAAATCGCAGGCGTATTGATATTATCATAAGCCCTTTAGTTGACTTCGGGCCTCACATAGGGGAGAAGAATTCAGGAGGGGGAACAGAAGAGTGATTTACAGATGCAAAAGAAACAGACAGACACCAAGGCTCAGAAAGGGTAAGATGAGTACTATAGAAGTGGTCGAATATGCCATACAGTGGGGTGAAGGTAGTTTGAAGTCAGAAGTCAACTGCCGGTTAATAGAATTTTTTGCCGTATGAGTATACGTTGCCCAGGGTGCACCACGAGGAGGTAAGTCTATCGCGCACCTCATATTCCTAACGTTTTAATATATATACGCAATTTTGAAGATTATATATTGAATCATGGGTGGTCACATATGCAATCTAATCTGCCTACCCGGTACAGCTGGCCAGGTCATAGAGAAGGAATGGGTGAGGAGGAATGTATCTCAAATGATGATTTCTATTTTAATTTGTTTCGGGAGGTGGAGGGGGGGGGGGAGATCATTTAGTTTCCTGATGAAGAAGAACGTAGGGGAGTGAATGCGAATAGCAGAGTTCTATGAATCTTCACCCCACTTCCCCCACCCCCTCCCTCCCTCCCTCTCCACCATTTCCAGGAGTCCTTGTCTATTTTGCCTGCTTGAGGTAATTACAGCATTAGTGGAGTTTTGCTTCTGACTTTGAGGCATCTATATTTCTACCTCGATTTTTCTGCTCGATTTCTTTTGCCTAATTGGTTTTCTCTCTCCCTCTCCCGTGCGCTCGTGTGAAATGTCACCACTGTCAAAAGGCGCGCCAGCAAACACTAGTTTTCAAATTCAATTTACTGCCTCCCCTTCCATACGCCCCCCCCCCCCCACCCCACAGCATTTTGCCACCGCCGGAGCTAATCAATCGTTGGTTGCCAGGGTGCGATAGGGGCGGGTGGGGAGGGGGGGGGGCGGTTAATTGCATACTTAAAATTCCTCTGTCAAAGTGTCATGCGGATTTGCAATGTTGTTTTTTGAATCAGAATTTTTGATAATTTTAATACACCACAAAAAAACTGGAATTCTCCCACTCCATCGCTTATTAGACCTCTTATCTCTGTATTCTCCCTAAAAACTGCATTTATTTTGATAGTGGGCGTTTAAAAGGATCTTTAAAGATTCTCACATTCATTTGGTAGTCAAGCCCATTGCTTCCTTATTGTCTTGCTCGGGATAGTGACTTATTTATTTATTTATATCAAATGGCAGGCGTTTTGATAGTTATCATTAGCCCTGGAGCTGACTTCGGGGCTTCACGAAGAGGAGAAGGGACATCAAAGTGACAAAAAGTCGAGATGGGAGACAGAATAATGATTCACAGAGGTAAAAGGGACAGACAGGCAGACACAAAGGCATAAAAAAGGTAAGCTGAGTACTGTGAAAGGGGTCGAATATGAAAAATAGTCGGGCCATAGAAATTTGAAGTCAGAGGTCAACTGCCGATCAATAAACTTTTTCCCGTATGAGTATACTTTGCCCAGGGAGCACCACGTGGAGGTAAGTCTATTGCGCACTTCGGGATAGAGACTTTGTTTGATGAATACCACTCATACAGAGTCCCATTTTCAGACACACACACACCCATCTGCATAAAATGCAGGAGAGGTTGAGAGAACTATTGTCTCTCTCTCTCTCTTTTACTCCGTCCTTTTAACTGTTCGACTAACTGGTTACACGTCTACACTCTGCCTCTCTTCTTGCTTAGTCATATTTAGTCAATCTGTGTGTTTGATGAGATTAAGTGTAAATGAGTTCGTGAGTGAGCTTCTAAACTACGATAGCCCTTTTCACACTCTAGCAAAACTTGCCACTCCGTTTAAACTATTCTAAACCAAACGCTTTCTGTTTGGTTTAAAATCACCATTATCCTCCCCGTACCTCGTGCAAGTGCGCTTGTTATCAAATCTGCATCATTTTTTTGGAAAGTTTTTGGCATTATAGGAAAATGATATGCGAAATATATCTTGCGGGGGCGATCTCTATAATAATTTTTCTCTTTTAATAAAATGGTTTGTTTTTTTTTTCTAATCATGGAGTGTGTTTGAGTTTCGAGATCGTCCAAGTCAACGTGGTAGACTGACTCACTATCGACACACGACGTACATAATTTTTTTGTCTAAAAGTTACAAAGTTCTCTGATTCTTTATATTATTTGTTTATATTAAATGGCAAGTCTTATGATAGTTATCATTGGCCCTTTAGTTGATTTCGGACTTCACAGAGAGGGGGAGAGACATCAAAGTTACAAATGTCGAGGGGGGGGGGAGGAGGGAACAGAAGGTTTAATCCCAGGTATTAGAGAGACAGACACAAGGGTAGAAGAAAAGGTAAGTCGAGGTGAATGCTGTGGAAGTGGTGGAACATGACATACAGTGATGTCATGGTAGTTTGAAGTTAGAAGTCAACTGCCGGTTGATAGACTTTTTTGCCGTATGGATATACGTTGCCCAGGTGCACTACATGGAGGTAAGTCTATCGCGCACCCCTCGTTTCTTTGCTATATTTATGTCTGTTCTGTGCTTTATGGAAGGGTGGTAAGTGAGAATTCAAGCGTAACTTTCAATTGTATCCAGAGGTTAATTGGGAAATACAGCTGAGGTTAATGTCTAAATCTCCCGTCAACCTATTGTTTAGGGTGAAGATTACTATCTTTCATTCCTTTTATTGTCTTTCTGCACTTGAAGTCTCCATATGATAGTGTATGAGCGCCTCACTAGGCGTCATGTTATCTAGCTTGCCTGCCAGCCATCTAGGAAGGGAAAGAAGGGGATAATGAGGGCGGCCTTGAAAAGAGTACACATGTGTCGGGGTGTATGTGTGTGTGTGTGTGATTATATG